TTTGTGTCTTATCTGAAAAGTCATGACCTTTTCGAAAAGTCTCAACCCTTGGGAAAAGTCACAACTTATTGAAAAAGTCACAACTCTTTTGAAAACTCACAACTTATCAAAAAAGTCACAATTTATCAAAAAAGTCACAACTCATCGAAAAAGTCACAAACTAAGTTAGGGATATTATAATGATTTAACATTCAAGTTAGGAGTTCATGCTTTTAAGGTAATATATATATATATATATACACACACATATAACAGTACGTTTGCTATTTGCATGAACATATGCATAATATGGCAAGAGATGATTTCTGAAAAAGCCCATTATTGTTTAAAGATAAATGATTTACGTTTTTTCCATCCAAGTTACATAATCAAATTTTACTCTAGTTCTAAATGTACATGATTTACATTTTTTTCAATTCTAGCACATCACTTCATATTGAAGTAGAGGACATAAAATCCTACAAATATTACTAAAATTGTCCATTTAATTCAAAAACGGAAAATTTATGAATATGACTACTCTAAATCAAATAAACTTTTAAGAATATGATTTCAAATGTCCTATCTTTAAACCGGAGTGATCTATTAAAGGGAAATTAGAATATACTTGAATGGAAAAAATGTAACTCATGTACCTTTAAAATTGGAAAAAATTAAAAATGTAACTTGAGTGGAAAAAACGTAACTCATGTACCTTTAAAATTGGAGTCAAAATATATTTTATGGATTCTAAATTTTTAAGAAAAATACAAAATAAGAAATTTATTTATATACTTAACTTAACCATCAAATAAAAACAAATATCATCACCTATAAAGTGTGCAAATTTCTTCACAAAGTTTCTCAAACCTATTTTGTCAAACCATCTTAAGTCACCAAACACTTTTGTAATGACACAAGTAAGATTATGCACCGAGAAAAGACGCAACATAAGGTGATAATATCTAAAGCAAAACGCTTTGTAGATTTAAAAAGCTATGGGCAAGTGTTCTCAAGGAAGCACATAAACTTTCTATTACAACAGGAGCACACGTTGCTATTGTCACTTATTCCCCAGGTGGCATTGTAACACCCCTAAATATTAACCAAGAGTCGCATGTTGATTTACCGTTGCTTAATTACTAAAATATGTTTTATTCTCATTTTGGGAACTTGAAGTTTTGTGATAATTGAAAACATGCTTAACATAGATTGTGATCATAATTTAATGTATTGTATTGGGGTATTTTCATAATATTCTAATTAGAATTATGTATAACTTTAAAGGAGGTGAGGGATATATATATTGGTGTATATGTATGCATTTTGGGCAGCACACAACTATTTGGGCAGCCACCTTTTGGAGACAATTGTGCATTGTGATAAACATCACTTTTGAGACTATATTTTTGACACCTCTTCTAGTCAAATTTGTCTCACCTGAAGTATAAGAACCTTAGAACATTATCTAACAAGTTTTTCTTCAAAATCACAAGAGAAAAACTTGGCCCTTTTGGCTAGAATTCGAGACACACACTTCTTTTTGGTAAGTGGTAAAATCTGTTTAGAGCTGGGTAGTGTTTAGTATTTAAAGCATAACTTAGGTTATAGAACTTTGTTTGCAGTGAATAAATATGATCTGGAAAGCTAATGTGTATAACTACAACTCTTATGTTTATGTAAAACTCTAATTTAGATGTTATGGATTCGAAATATTGGACGCAACATAGGACAAGTTCTGTCCAGAGTTCGAAAGTAGAAATCCTGTATTCACAACTGTTAGTGTTTTGAATATATCTTTCTGTACAAAATATATTTTGCGGTGATTCTTGTTTGTTTGCAACCTTAAGAGATGTACCTACATCTTTCATGAAGGTTATAAAGTCTAGTTCTTCCGTTTTCCTTTCCAAATCTAAGTTGCGACATAAGGTACTAGGCTGGCCAAAATCATTGTTTTGGGAGCATAGTCGTATTTGTACAGGCTAAGCTTACTTGTGATGATAATCCTATTTTACATCAACATTATTAAGCTGCTAGGAATTAAAGAAGTTATTTAATTGTATTTTTAAGGTTGTATATACTCTTGAACAAATTGAGGACCTTGAAACATTGGTTGGTCTACGGTCTGAACTCGCGAAGTTGTGTTGGACTGTTTCTTTGCTAAAGCACTGGGATTTGTGCATAAACTTGTACTTGCACTGTTTTAACTGGTGGTATGTCTGAAGGTTTATCTTGGTACCTTGGTTACCTCTTGTCACTTTGCATTGTCGTGTTGGTATCCTTTAAGACATTAAAGACGCTTGTGTAACTGGCCCACTTGTACAGTTTGTTTGATCACTTCGCACTCTTGTTGGGACCTTGTCCTTTTTGTGGCTATGACTTTGTCACTATTGGCATGCCTCTTGATTCAGATCATTTGCCATCTTGACTCTGGAATTTTAGTC